AAATATAAAATTACGTCATATGTTTCTTTTCTTCTTCTCTTTTTATTTATTTGTTAAATGAAAAGAAATGAGTTAAATAAAAGAATTTGCTATTTTTTTGCAAAAAATATTACTTATTAACGTGAAAAAAATTAATTGTGTCGTTTTGAAAATATTAATTATTTAAATGAAAATAAAATTTTGTATTATTTAAATGAAAATAAAATTTTGTATTATTTAAATGAAAATTTCTATGCTTTTGAAAATATTTCTTGATAAAATAAAATAATTTATAAGTAAAGTGAAAGGAATTTTTTTTTGTTTTCACAAAATATGTATTATTGAAGTGAAAATATTTATGATTGAAATGAAAAGAAAAAATTGAGTTATTTGAATAAACTTTATTTTAAAAATCAGAAAAAGAAAATTACAAAACAATTTAAACAACAGAATGTAAAAATATATATACATACATTTGTGTTCGTTTGGATTGAATTGAATTGAATTGTTTGTTGAATGGAACTAGAACATAAAAATAACAATTCATTTTATTTGTTTGAAATAAGAAAAGTGAAAGTAATTATATTTACTTTGCTGTTGAAGAAATCGAGATGAACTAAAACGAAATAAGCAGAAATAAATTGATTGGAATGAAAAATAATATTTTTTTTGCTTACCAGCTAATAGTCGCTCGCGCGACCAAGAATTACCTTGGTGGTGCCATAGAGAGCCAAGGCTCTTCACGTACAGGCATAGATCTAGCGTGTATAGGACGTACAACAGGTAGATCTATATGCAGCCTGTATGTGCTATGGGCACCTAGGTAGGCTTGGCCAGTTTCACGCCGAAGTATGGAAGGCCTCCGGAGGACGTAAAAAAATATACATATATACAAAGTATACTTACTTTTTGTGTATTACTAAAATAGAAAATAGAAAAAATAAAGTTGAAACTAAAATAGATGATAGAAAGGCAATTATAATCATATAAAATTTAAATAAATAAATGGGATAAAAAGCTGAGACAACGAAAAAAGAATAAAAAAAACTAAAACTAATACTTACCTATGATATTGAACAATGGTAATTGCGAATACAAGCTAAAATAGTTAAGAAATAAATATACATGAATCTAAGAAGAAGAGAAAGAAAGATGGGGAATGATTTCTAACGTTGAAAATCATTGCTATTTATAGTCATTTTTGTTATTCGTAATAATTAGACAATTGGTAAGCAATCGAGATCAAATGAATTTCATTTCTATTTGTAAAATTTACCATCCCGCTCACTACATAAAGTGGTCTTTTTACGATTTTAATTGATTGCTATGCAATCGATCGTGAAGATCACAAGCGTTCCTAAGAGTGGCAAAAAAAACAAATCTTGTAATATGGGTAGCAATATTTTTGATCCCCAAAAAAATGACTATTGATCACCAAAATGTGTTAGTTGCGAAATGATCACCAAAAAAATGTACAAATGATCCCCAATCTATTTT